AAAATGTAAAGGCTTGTCTAAGCTTAACTCCATAAATATATGTATATAACATGAAGAATTTCAATAAAACTTTAATAATGCCATATCTGCTAAGATTAAACCATAACCTAAATAAATACTTATTCATAAGTAGTTAACAGGGGTATTGCCCCAGTCATATGCAAGGATTTCGTAATTTGCATAAAATAAATAACAGTAAATGACATGAAACCAATTATAGCTGATGATATGCAGAACAAATTTGCTTAATACAAAGAAAAACCGAAACCGATATGCCTGCCGGCAGCAAAGGGGTTAATATGCCTGTGACTTGGCCGTAAAGCGTGTGGCCGTAAAGTAAGGCCGTTTTAAATCGCGACGCCGTGGGAAATGATCCGGGCGACGGACTTACGATTTTGAAGTCCTGTGGACTTAATCTGCGACGAAAACACCGGGTATGTGCGTGGCTGAACGGGCGGAAAACCTGTAAGGATTCCTGGACACAGCTACACCAAACGAAAACCGCGGGTTTTTGAAAAGCAAGATGGCGCCGTACGTGAACCGGAAGTGGATTCTCGATGCAGCGCTGACCTCGAACGGTATGGAGCCAGGTAAGGGGTGTCCCTTAAGTAGGGAGAAGGTGAGTCATACGCCCCTCCCACAATTACAGGCCAAAAGGCCTTAATACATATGTAAAATAGTTGTCAGTGATAGCACTCCAAGGACTATAAATAAAATATAACTTTTATTACCTCCACTAAAACAGTACAGTCAACGTTTCAGCTTGAACCCCTCAAGCTTTCGTCAGGACATACTGAAAATACAAACAAACCCCACATATATAGCATAAGTAATGACATCCACTTATCCCACCTGTGGTGCATCTGACTTCATGGACGCTCGGACCGAGACTGCCGCGGGCTGCCCGGCAAACCTCTGCAGCCACGTGGCGTCGCGCTCAATGACGCGGCCAGGGGTCGTCACCATGGATACCAATATACAATTGCACATTGTGCATATCATACAACGCGTGAAATAAAAACAATGTTGCCAAATCATCTAGCAACAGGTGAATGTAACCGAGTGCCTTAATTGTGTATATATATGATTGTGCAGAAATGGCAAACTAATCTTTTAAAGTTGGGAAACCACAGACTTAGAAAATGAACTGATAAATAAAAAGAGGAAAAAAATCAAATAAACTATAATAGGGGACTAATGTATCGGGTAATGATAATGATATTATGCATCCTTGATATTAATAAATGTTATAAATCCTGATAAAAACCAGATATATAGCTAGAAAAATTCATACATAAGCCTCATACAATTCTAATATAATAAAAGGCTGGCAAAAAAAATATATACTGACCCATATTATTGCAAAGAGGTCTATAGGGAACTAAACCTCTAAACGGTTACATGGGTACCTCCATCGAAAAAAAGTATTTTTCATCAAAAAAATTTATATAACACAGAGGCTTAATAGTCTACAATTTCTGGAGTCTCATTAACTTAATAGAGAACATGATTAAAGAGTCGTTGATTATCGACCCAGGTCAACATCTATCAATACTGCCTAACCAAGAACAGTATATTCGAAAATGGAAAGACAAATATATCTGTTACCCAAGCAACAGAGACAACCCATACCACTTATGGTGTATAAACCCTGGATGAATACTGGTCACAGTGGGTGTATATGTGGGTTGCCCATCCCTCAGGGTGGGCACCCAATAGCAACCCTACACACGTGACCGTATCAAATGTATAAAGGAAAGCACAACTATTACATAACAGCATAAATAGTGTGAGATAAACATCGGGCTGCATGCCTATCCCCCAGGGTGGGCATTGCAGTACCACTGCTTCTACACACTAATCAATGGATAATTATAAAAATGCAGAAAGAGAATATTTCTCGTTAAGGCCGTCTGGGTATACTGTTCTCAAAGTTCTGATCCAATAGAGTTCACGTTGTAATAACATCTTTTTGCCATCACCTCCCCGTCATGGTGGTGGTATGTGGTCAATTGCCATAAGTTTCAAAGTCGGCAACGTATGGCCCTTCTCCAAAAAATGTTTGGCCACAGGGAGGTCTGATTTTTGATCTCTGTAAGCCACTCTTATGCTGGATCTATGATTCCGGATACGCTCACGCAGAGGCAGATCCATTTTGCTGATGTATGTTAACCCACATGGACAAGTTAGTTTATACACTACAAAATCTGTAGTGCATGTTAATCGATGTCTGATCATATACTCCTTTCCTGTATGGGGATGAGTGAAAAATTTGCCTGGTAACATGTGCCCACATGTAACGCATCCTAAACACCTATAACAACCCAAATTAATGGGGATCTGATCACGTTCATAACAGTGTATAGGATCCGTCTTAACTAATAGGTCCTTTAGACTCTTATTTCTCCTATAGCACATCATAGGTGTTTGACGGAACGGTGTAGGCAATGAAACATCATTCCTCAAAATTCTCCAGTTATTGTCAATAATTTGTTTAAACTGTGTAGAAGCTGTAGTATATGTCGTTGGAAATACCAATTTCCTTGTAGATACATCCTTTGATGTACTTTGTGTTGAATAACACTTATCGAGGGCTTTCTGTAATAGATGGACACTATAACCACGTTGTTGAAATTTGTCCCACATAAGTCTCAATTGTTCCTCAGCTTTACTGTGGTCAGAATTATTCCTCAATACCATGAGAAATTGAGAGTATGGTAAGGATTGTTTCAGGGCAGTAGGGTGAAAGCTATTTGCCTGTAAGAGAGTGTTGCGATCGGTCGGTTTAGAGTATAGCGAGTAAGCCAATCTGTTACCTTCCCTCATAACTCGTACATCCAAAAAATCAACCAGAAATGGATCCACAGTCATGGTTAGTTCCACATTTGATGTACACGAATTGATCCCTTGAATCATAATTTCAGCAGCATGATTGTCACCCTTAATAATCATAAAAATATCGTCGATACAGCGACCGTATACTAAAATGATGTCTTTGAATGGTTCCAATATATATTGGGATTCGAATTCAAACATGTATCCATTGGCGTACATTGGAGCCATGGCCGCTCCCATTGATGTACCTGCAGTTTGTCTATACCAATTGCATTCAAACCGAAAATAATTTTGTTGTAAAACCAATTCAAGAACCTCCATCACATAATCAATAGATGAACCCATATACTTCTCAGAATTTAGAAGAATCCGTCTCATGGCCTGAATCCCCCCTGCATGGGGTAAAATTGTGTATAGGCTCTTGACATCACACGTAACCAGAGATATCGGCCCAGTTGGTAGAGTTAGTGAAGAAATCAATTCAATAAAGTTTGGGGTGTCCTTAATGTATGTATGTAGACTTTCAATCGTTTCTTTAAAAAGGAAATACAACCATTTCGCCAAAGGCTCCAAAATGCCTCCAACTGCTGACACGATTGGTCTCCCTGGAGGATTCTGAAGGTTTTTGTGGACTTTAGGGAGTGTATAGATCACTGGTGTCCTGGGATTGGATTGTTGTAAATATTCCCAAAGATCCTGATCCAGAAACTCCTGCTCTAGACCCCTTATGTAGAACAGTATCAATCAGATGTTTCACTTGAGTTGTGGCGTCACCGTTTAACTTAAGGTAAGTATCTGAATCAGATAATTGCTGTATTATTTCCAACTTATACTTAGTATAGTCTTGAATGATGATCCCCCCGCCTTTATCTGCCGACCGAATCACAATATTCTTATCCGTGGCCAAGGACTTAATAATTTTTCGGTCTGCTTGTGAACAATTGGAATGGTAGGAATGGGTCATCTTCAAATAATCAGTGGTCTCTTTCTGTACCGATACATTAGTCCCCTGTTATAGTTTATTTGATTTTTTCCTCTTTTTATTTATCAGTTCATTTTCTAAGTCTGTGGTTTCCCAACTTTAAAAGATTAGTTTGCCATTTCTGCACAATCATATATATACACAATTAAGGCACTCGGTTACATTCACCTGTTGCTAGATGATTTGGCAACATTGTTTTTATTTCACGCGTTGTATGATATGCACAATGTGCAATTGTATATTGGTATCCATGGTGACGACCCCTGGCCGCGTCATTGAGCGCGACGCCACGTGGCTGCAGAGGTTTGCCGGGCAGCCAGCGGCAGTCTCGGTCCGAGTGTCCATGAAGTCAGATGCACCACAGGTGGGGTAAGTGGATGTCATTACTTATGCTACATATGTGGGGTTTGTTTGTATTTTCAGTATGTCCTGATGAAAGCTTGAGGGGATCAAGCTGAAACGTTGACTGTACTGTTTTAGTGGAGGTAATAAAAGTTATATTTTATTTATAGTCCTTGGAGTGCTATCACTGACAACTATTTTGTATTTTTGGCTGACAAGCACCGGGCACTTAATTTGGAACTGGTGGAGTGCAAGATTTATTGGATTTTTTTTATATATATATATATATATATATATATACACACACCGTATTTTCCGGCGTATAAGACGACTGGGCGTATAAGACGACCCCCAACTTTTCCAGTTAAAATATAGAGTTTGGAAATTACTCACCGTATAAGACTACCCCTCTTCCAACGCACACCAAATAAAATTTAAAAAAACATCAGATTTGATTTCAATATGGTAATTTTAATTCAAATGCTTATGACATGCAGGTACTTAGCAGGAAAACTGTCACTTATAAACATAAGACTGTTTATCATCAAACATGTCAACATAAAACAGTGCAAGTGGATTAAACGTTTCCATGCTGTTTGTTTTCTAAGCTGTCAACCAAACTGGAACTGATGATGATAGGAGGAAGATAGCAAACAATAGAGAGAGAGCAAGTCCTTGGCGAGTTAGCAACGCCCATCATAACTGCAAACCACTGTATTTTTACAGGTTTAGCTGGCGTGACAGTTTCCCTTTAAAAGCCTTCAAAATCCTCCTGTTCGTCATCTGATATCATAAGTACATCAATGACATCTTGTGATACATTTGTAAGGCAGTCATTGTATGGATCGAATTCTGTATCAGATGGTGTATCAGATGGTGTGGTCTCAGCTTCGGCTTCCTCTTCATCTTGCCACAAGTAGTCGTCCTCCATACCATCTAATGAATTTGATATGCCACACTTCTTGAAAGACTTGATTACTGTTTCTGCATCAATATCATTCCAGGCTTTTATGACAAACTTGCACAAAACATCCAACTGTGGAGCACGCATGTTTCCTCCTTTTGTGAATGACTTTTCGCCGCTAACCATCCATTCATTCCACTGTTCTCGAATGCGATCTTTAAATGGCTTGTTTAGGCACACATCCAGTGGCTGTACCAACGATGTCAATCCTGCAGGAATAACTGCCGTATCTGTGTTTAGTCTTGCAAGCCTTTGCTTAGTGCTGGGAGTTAAATGAGCCCTAAACATATCCCACACCAGTAGACTACATTTTTGAATAAGTCCACCTGGTCGCCTGCTCCATACATTATCAAGCCATAGCTTTACCTCTTTTTCATCCATCCAGCCTTTTTCATTCACATGTACAAAATAACCAACAGGGAACTTGAGTTTAGGTATTGTTTTTCTTTTAAAAATAATCATTGGTCTCAGTTTGGCGCCATCAGCTGTGCATCCTAGTACCACTGTAAAACTGGACTTCTCATGTCCTGTTGTGTTAATTAAAATTGTTTTTTCACCTTTTTGATGGACAGTTTTATTTCCAACCATATCAAAATTCATTGGAGTTTCATCCATATTTCCAATACTACTTAACGCACAGCCATGTTTAGTGCGCTGCTGTATTACGTATCGATGGAAACTATCTGCAGGTAATTTCTGGTCAATTTTCATCTTTTGCCTCAGTACCATATTATGCCTTCCCATGAATCTAGTACACCAGGATACAGTGGCCTTAAATCTGTTGCTTTGATCTGGGTTAGATTTGGCCTACTGAAGTGCAAACAAACGTATTTTATTCACTAAATAACCGTTTTGGCGATGCTCATTCACCATGTCTGCTACATGTTTTTCGAGTTCTGGCCAATGTGGGGTGCCTCTTCTTAATGCACACTTACCCCTTGGCATAGTCTTTAATGCTTTTTCATTTGCTTTCCAATCCTGAACCATCTTTTCTGTTACTCCATATTGTCTTGCAGCACCGCAGTTATTATGTTCCATGGCAAAGTTTACAACTTTAAGTTTGAAACTGGCTTCATATTTCTTTCTTCTTGCTGGTGGAGCCATGATGGGGTTTTGACTGTTGGACATTTGTATACTGTACTGTATGTACTGTATGTACTGTATTTACTGTACTGGCTGAACAGGTACAGATACTGGTACTGTACTGTATGAACAGGTACAGATACTGGTGCTGAACTGTATGTGGTACCCAGTATAACCAAATCAGAGCTGACCAAAACAACCAGCCAATCACGGCAAGTGATGTACCTTACCGGCGATTGGCTGGTTGGATTGGTGAGCTCTCCCTCCCTGCCTGCCTAGCCCCTGTCTCCCTGTGTCCAAAACATGCCTCTTTCACTGGTCTGGCCCGCCCTTGTATCCTATTACCATATCTCCTTCTCTGCCTCTCAGATCTCGCACATGCGCGCCTGCGCCGCTTCACTGCAGATCTGAGATCTCGCTCCTACGGACTGCAGTGAATCGGCGTTTCGACCTCTTTAGGTCTTCAGGTCGATCTTGAGGAAGACCTGAAGAGGTTGAAACGTCGATCGGACATTGAATTATGTTGGACATTAAATACCAATAATTATCTCTAAAAGACCACGGAGTGCATCTCTTCTTTACTCATTATATATATATATATATATATATATATATATATAAATAATATTTTTTCTTTCCTTCTTTCTCATTTATGTCATAATTGAGGTTACACTCAATATATATATATATATAGTGTAACAAAGTTAACATATTAACATATATGTAAAATACCCATGCCATGTGTCTTGCACTTTCACATTTGTTGAAGCCTAGGGAAGATTTGTTCTAATGTTATGTGCATACCTGCCTTTAGGGTAGCACTCCACCAATATCCAGCAAGCGCAATATACAGACTCATAAGAATAGAAAAGTAGAAACATATACAGGTGATACTCGAAAAATTAGAATATCGTGTAAAAGTTCATTTATTTCAGTAATGCAACGTAAAAGGGGAAACTAATATATGAGATAGACGCATTACATGCAAAGCAAGATAGTTCAAGCCGTGATTTGTCATAAGTGCGATGATAATGGTTTACCGCTCATGAAAACCCCAAATCCACAATCTCAGTAAATTAGAACATTATATGCAATCAATATAACAAGGAGTGAACATAGAACAATATCGAACCTCTGAAAAGTATAAGCATGCATATGGACTCAGTACTTGGTTTGGGCCCCTTTTGCAGCAATTACTGCCTCAATGCGGCGTGGCATGGAAGCTATCAGCCTGTGGCACTGCTGAGGTGTTATGGAAGACCAGGATGCTTCAATAGCGGCCTCCAGCTCTTCTACATTGTTCGGTCTCATGTCTCTCATCTTTCTCTTGGCAATGCCCCATAGACTTTCTATGGGGTTCAGGCCAGGCGAGTTTGCTGGCCAATCAAGCACAGTAATCCCATGGTCATTGAACTAGGCTTTGGTGCTTTTGGCAGTGTGGGCAGGTGCCAAGTCCTGCTGGAAAATTAAGTCAGCATCCCTATAAAGCTCATCTGCGGAAGGAAGCATGAAGTACTCCAAAATCTCCTGGTAGAGGGCTGCGTTGACCCTGGACTTAATGAAGCACAGTGGACCAACAGATTACATGGCTCTCCAAATCAACACAGACTGTGGAAACTTCACACTGAACTTCAAGCATCTTGCAGTGTGTGCCTCTCCATTCTTCCTCCAGACTCTGGGTCCTTGGTTTCCAAATGAGATGCAAATTTGCTCTCATCAGAAAAGAGAGCTTTGGACCACTGAGCAACAGACCAGGTCTGTTTTTCTTTAGCCCAGGTAAGACGCTTCTGACGTTGTTTGTTGTTCAGTAGCGGCTTGACAAGTGGAATACAACATCTGAAGGCCATGTCCAGGATCCGTCGGTGTGTGGTGGCTCTTGATGCACTGACTCCAGCCTCAGTCCACTCCTTGTGAAAGTCCCTTGCACTTTTGAATGGCCTTTTCCTGACAATCCTCTCCAGGCTGTGGTCATCCCTGCTACTTGTGCACCTTTTTCTTCCACACTTTTCCCTTCCACATAACTTTCTATTAATGTGCTTTAATACAGCACTTTGGGAACAGCCAACTTCCTTTGCAATTACCTTTTGAGGCTTTGCCTCCTTGTGGAGGGTGTCAATGATGGTTTTCTGCACAACTGTTAGGTCAGCAGTCTTCCCCATGATTGTGATTCCTACTGAACCAGGCTGAGAGACCATTTAAAGGCTCAGAAACCCTTTGCAGGTGTTATGGCTTACCTTTTCACAATATTCTAATTTACTGAGATTGTGAATTTGGGGTTTTCATGAGCTGTAAACCATAATCATCGCACTTATGACAAATCACGGCTTGAACTATCTTGCTTTGCATGTAAAGCGTCTATCTCATATATTAGTTTCCCCTTTTACGTTGCATTACTGAAATAAATGAACTTTTGCACGATATTCTAATTTTTCGAGTATCACCTGTAATGGTGTAGTGTCTTCGGTATATGAATTGCAGAGTTACATTACTATTATTAACATTATTATCGCCATTTATATATAGCGCCAACAGATTGCGTATCGCTTTACAATATTATGAGAGGGGCTCACCTTGAACAGAGCCTTAATATTCCTAATTTTAAGTAGAAATGTATACAGTGACAATTAAGGGTAGCCCTCCCCCTTTAAAAATGGAGAATCAGAAAGCAGATAACATGTTTTAGATCTCTACAAAATGAGAATTTATTACGTTCCAATGCATACAGTTTTCTTAGCTTTTGCTCAGAGTTCTCATATTCTCTGTTTGTGCTTAATGAATTTGCTGGGGGTCTCCCTTATTTAAAGGGTTAATCCAGACACTGTCTAGAGGGATATTAGCTTCACCTTGCTGAAATGATCATCTGGGGTTGCTGTATTTCTCAGGCAGCATTCTGGGTCTGTACTGCCCATAAGGGTGGGAATAGTCTTATATGTAAATGGTATAGGTTACTTTTGTAATGGCAAAAGTGAGTGATGGCTAAAAAAAAAATAAAAAAAATTGAGACCTGAGTAGGGACTTACGGAAGGGCAAGCTATTGAGTTTTATGAGGTTTTTGCTCATTCTCAGAGTTTTTATATTCATTGTTTTTGTTTTAATGTTATCAATTTACCCCACAAAAAGGGAGATCGCTAAAAGTTATAGGATCTAGATTCTGTTTGTGAACATTTTCAACGTCTCAAAATATCCCCATCCCAGTTGATGATCTCACTAACACTAAGGAGTTTGCACTGGGAACCTAGTCTGGTGAAATGTCAATGAACCATCGGTTTAAAGGCATCCTGCTGAGCATATAGGAATGTGTTCGGTCGTATCATTTCATTTTTCTTTTTGGAGAATCTCCTGAACTACTGCCACTTGCATGCAATGAGTAAAGTAAACAATGAAAGTCAGCATAGGTTTGAGGTTTAGAAAAATTAATGGTGTAGTTGGGTCAATTGCAGCAGTCCTAGTTAATCGTAAAGTAGAAATAAATAAATGTGAGAATAAACAGTGTAGTGTTCTTAGGGCTGTTGCCCTCTTCAGCTGCCCACCAACTACCTGTGATGGAGGAGTTGTATTAATTTATGGGTTGAAGAGTGGAAGTAGACTTTGTATTTGAGATATATATCATTGGGTCAAGTAGTGTGTAGATATCATCAACCCAATTAATGGTTCCTTCTGCGAAACCAGTGGGGGAGCACAGGATCCTTAGGGGCATAGAGGTTTCCAAATGTACACATTTAATCTCCATTTGCCTGTGGCAAATGCCTATCTATATTCTATGTTTTCAAGGTTGGAGGTCTTCATATTTGGAACTTGATTAGAGAACAGGAATGAAACCCCTTAAGACTTGGGAAGCATGAAATTACTGAAGTATCACAGAAAATTCCTGACCCTTAAAGGAAGTGGCACCACTCTCCAGACAGTAGCTCTGCTCAACACATAGTACAGTGTCTATAGCACTTTAATTCATTGAATGTTGTAGATCACTCCTGGGGTGTAGAGGCTATTAACCATGATAAGAATGAGAGGGAGCTGAGATGATAATTCTCACCATATTACCCAGTTGTTGGACAGAATGGAGATGAGAAGGACTATGGCGTACAAATAGGGATGCAAGGGGGAGGATAAACCCAGATGCATACAGGATGGGGCAGAACAGACAAGCCCTCACTGCTCTGTCACCACTGTGGCATTGCAGTATTGTACCACAATATTTTCTTGTTCCCCTTTCCAGCCTGGCAGGTAGCTACAAACCGCATGCAGTAACTAGAAGGGTAAGGGATAAGACTCCATGTCGTATTC